CGAAGCGAAGCGGGAACTTGGTCGCTTCTATGTTGTGAAGCGTAGCAGGTGTTATAAAGCGTTCGCTTCTGCCAAAAAAGCGAGAAGCGTGAGAAGCGACAGAAGCGAGCGCTTCGATATATTAAGGTGCTGCCAACGATTAAAAATTAAAAAAGCTCTCTTTTTTCAAAACATATTGAGCAGCAGAAAAGAACAGACGATTAGGGTTCCCATTTTCTGCACTTTTAAAGTTCAAGTTCATCATGTTCAAGCCCAGGTATGTGATTTCTTCTTCCTCCTCCTCCCCCTTCTTCTTCTTCTTCTTTTTCTTTTTCTTTTTCTTTCACTGTTTCAGTCTCAAAATAGCAGCGAAATGCTGCCAAAATTTTTTCCCCCTCCAGTTCTTCTTTTTCTCATTCTCTTCTTCTTCTTCTTCTTCTTCTTCTTCTTCATTCTCTTCTTCTTCTTCTTCTTCTTCTTCTTCTTCTTTCACTGTTTCAGTCTTAAATTGCAGCGAAATGCTGCCCAATTTTTTTCGTTGTTGCCATTTTTTTGCTTACAGTTACATAGGTTGTCTATGCAGTATTTATTTTAATATTTTTTTTAAAATTCCGCTTCACTTCAAAAAAGCGAGCGCTTCGCTTCTCGCTTTAAGCGAAAAGGGGCTTGTCGCTTTTCCTCGCTTCACGCTCTTCACAACACTGGGTTGATCGGCTTAAGGCCCGTCTTGTTGCAAAAGGATATACTCAGATTTTTGGGCTTGATTACAGTGATACTTTCTCTCCCGTGGCTAAAGTAGCATTTGTTCGTCTTTTTTTGTCCGTGGCTATGGCGACGTGTGAGTTAGTTTGGGTCAAGCAGTTGCTCAAGGAGTTAAAGTTCGGAGAAATCAACAAGATGAAACTAGTGTGTGATAACCAAGCTGCTCTTCATATTGCGTCAAATCCGGTGTTCCATGAGAGGACTAAACACATTGAGATCGACTGTCACTTTGTCAGAGAAAAAATACTTTCAGGAGATATTGTTACAAAGTTTGTAAAGTCGAATGATCAACTAGCAGATATTTTCACTAAATCTCTTACTGGTTCTCGTATTAGTTACATGTGTAACAAGTTCGGTACATATGATGTGTATGCACCGGCTTGAGGGGGAGTGTTAGTTTACAGATATGTATAGTGTAGTCTTGTCCCACATTGGAAGAGGGGTAATATCTCCTTGTAGTGTATAGCTATAAATAGGGACCTCTTGTATTGTATTTATCATCCAATATCAATAACATATTTTCTCTCGTGCCTCCTCACAGAGACCACGAAGATTAGTGGGTAAATTTTGAAGTAGTGCTTGCCATTCGGTTCTACAATGTTAATCTCTATCTCTATCTCTTCTTTTGTGATGTTTGAACAGGCGGAGGAGAGGAAAGCAGCAATAAGGAAGGTTCCTGAACAAATGATTTTGTCAGAAGTTAGGCGCATGGTGGAAGAGATGCAAGCTTTGAATAAGAAGCTAGAGGAGACTGTGAGTTTACAATTTTTTTGAATTTTGCCCTGTTGTTAACTTGCTTCCGTTGAAAACTTCTGTTTGTGTTCCTGTTTACTTCAGAAGCATGCTATAAACTATTACTTGGTGATCCTGATTATAATTCTTTAAAGAAGTTCTGCTCTCCTGGGTATTGTTGTTTATAATTTGCAAAAGAGGTAGTGTAAGGTCAATCTTGAAGAGGATGTTGGATCTATTCCACAAACAATATAAGTCATCCTAAATGAGCAATGGCCTAACATCTTGCATCCGTGTTTATTGTACAACAACAACAACAACCCAGTAAAATCTCACTAGTAGGGTTTGCGGAGGCTAGGGTGTACGCAGACATTACCCCTACCCTGTAGGGGTAGAGAGACTGTTTCCGGGAGACCCTTGGCTCAGAGATCCGTGTGAAATAGAAAGGTTCTACTTTCAGAGCACAAAGTGGGTTCCAAAACATTGTTTTTCTAAGACCACAAGACTCCATATTTTGAGGCTGAATTTATACTTCCAGCTCTAGGAGAACAGAGAAGAAGTTGGAATGCAATGCAAAAAAGCCACCTGGCTGATGAACCAATCAGTTTTGAGTTTTGACTTAGCTTAAGCTTAATTTGGCTCAATTTTTGTCAGGTGTGACGTGTGAACCTAGATTAACGTGTGGCTTTTGGCCACATTTAAAGTTCTTACTTAGCGGTGAATACTCTTGAGTCTAGCTGAGTCNCCCTCCCCGCCCCCTCCCTCCCGCCTCCCCAGATGGAAAATTGTAGATAACCTGGATATTGAACTTACATCTTGCAAACCTTTGATTTTAAATGAAAACCTGATTTGTTTGTCCCAATTTTTGTTCGTTAATGGCTGAAAATCTTGATTTAGAAGGAAACATCGTTGATTGAATTTTAGGCTGTATTCACATTGAATATATTGAATTTGAGAAATTGCTGGTATTTGACACTCGTGCAAACCAAGATCTTGAACCAAGTGGATCGATGTCCTTGATTGGTGCTGCTTTTACTCGATTGTACTGCTAAAACTGTCAAGCCCTTCCTCACAGAATACTTGTACTATTCAGCTGTCTCTGGTGCAGTCTGAGATCCTAGCGGTTGGACTTTCCCGCATGCTGCTTCATCAATGTCACCTTGATCTTCAACTTGCTATTCCAGTGCCTCTACAGTTTTGAGTCTGACCTTTAATATAATGACTTACATGAGTGTCACATAAATTGGTCAGAGGGAGTAGTACCCAACAGTGTTCTCGTGTTCTTATTCTGTGTGTTCTCCATATATCTTTTGTAGATGCTTGCTTTACATCATTTTACCATCTGCTTCATTCACTTGTTGTATTATGACAGCAAGGTATTAGGAACTTAATACAGAGTAGGGTTGGTTTCAAAGTCTCCTGCTATTGTTACTGATGTCATGTTCCCCTCCTGGTGTTATGTCTGATCTTCTGACCTGGACTCATTGCTTGAAAAAATGGGTGAATGTTTTCAGGAGGCTGCTATTGATGACTATTTCAAGCCAATAAACAAGGAAGCAGAAGCAATAGTGAAAATGCAGCTTGAAGGAGAGGAGAAGAGAACGAAGGAGATGATGAATATCTTGCACAAACAAGCTTTTCTTGAGAAACATCAGGCGGAGAAACTAATAAGCGCAGAAAATGTGGTCACGGAAAAACATGGCCAAGATAAAGCATCTACATAGATCCCACCAAAAGTAACACTCTTTTGTAGAGTATAAAATTGTTCCTGAAATTGAACAGTACGAATTCATGTTGTTTTGCCTCTTAGATGTGGCATGGTTTTGGCAATCCAAAAAGGGAGGAGGATCTCGCCCCTTCCAAAGCTTCTGATAAATTTGGAACGAGTAGAGAAGCAGGAATTAGTTTGCTTATTTCAATTACACATGCCAACGATGATTTCTGTTGTAATTTATACATTGTCTCAATGTGATTTTCTCGTTCCCAGGTTCGAGTGTTAATGGTTTCAGTAAAAAGCCATTTCACATTCAGCTTCAGCTTTGTATCTGATGAGTTTGTTACAGAAAACTGAAGGAAAATTTTGAAATATGTCTGATTATAATACAGTTTTTTAAGGATCTTTCGTGGTATTAAAGTCTACAATTCATGAGGAAACAACTCAATCTCATACATGCAAAGATGATTTACTGCTTATTTACTGGAAACATGACATTACATTAAATTATTCTTTCTTAAGATATTACATACATTTCATGTTCGATGCTTCAGAGGCATCTCATTACCTTTGTTGATCCTTTGAGTATCGATCGCACGCCTTATTATCAAGGAAAAGCTAGAGTTCAAACAAGAAAAAAGTTTGTTCACATCACTAGTCTCGAGTATATGTAACATAAATAGTGATTGGTGATAGCCATTTTGTTGATGACCTAATTGAAATGAGAACCAATGTTAGGAGGAGATCTGACGGTCAAAAATGTGGATGTGAAGACCAATAACTAAGTCACAGGTTGCACCAAATCAAGCTCCTACAAGGTCAAAAGACCTACTGCAGATAAAATAAAGTAACATCACTCATCACAAAGCATATAAGAATATAAATATATTTGTTTGATAAAAAGGTTCAAACAAACTCTCTTTGTTTCTTCTATTTTATTTTATTTATTGTTTTCTTGCCATTACTTTTCTATTCCTTTTAATTTCTTATACCATATTTTTTAAACCATAAATAATAAACTTAAAAATATCATTATCTTGATCCTTACTTTAAGAGAAATTACTAGCAAGAGAATGCAAAAAATAAAAGGGTAATTTTCTTTTTTTAGTTATCTTTCTTTTTGGAAGAGTTTGCAGGGTGAGGGTTGGAAAAAAATCACATGTTAGTAGTAGTTATCAGGAATAACTTATAGTCAACAAGGACATAAGCAATAATATTCTTCAACCTCATAAAGTCCATTTAAAGATTAAAAAAGAAAATAAGTTGTATTTTCAATAAATAAAGAGGGAATTGAACTTTTCACAAGGATTTAATACCAAAGAAAGCCAAAACATATTATTAACTTCATTTACAAATTACAAAACAAGAAGAAGAGGTCACACAGAAACACAACACCCTCATTTCCGTTCACATTTCACCTTCCTTTCCCTAAATGTTTATAAAATTCCTTCAAATTCCAGTAGTCTTTTCTTTTCTTCATTGGATTGTACAAATTCTCAGCTGAAAAAAAAACCCCATCTTTAATCCCTTTATTACTTGTTCATAACTTTTGCTATTTTCACTGGTTTTTTGTGGGACTTTTTATATACAGACTTTTCTTGGTCTTGTTGGGTTTGCTGGTTTTTCCTGCACAACTTTCTTTGGGTCCATTGCAGAGAAGCTTTGATACCCAGTAACATATATACAAAATATAAGAGGCTGAAAAGTATAATTGAACAGATATTTATATTATATAAATATTTTTCATTTTCTAAAGAAAACAAAAGCAGAAATACTTTGAAATTTCATTTTTCTTGAATTAAGAAATTGCACAGATGGGAAAGCAAGGACCTTGCTATCACTGTGGTGTTACAAGTGAGTTCTTGTTTCTTCAATGTATTTTATTTCTCTCATGAGTTTATTAATCTAAAAAAAAAAAGTCTCTTCAGCTCAGAGAATTGTTCCCTTTTTCCCACTCGCTAAATACTATTATTTGATGGTTACTTCATAAGTCAAGAGATCGCTGACCAATAAAAAATGATGAGTAATATGTGCTGTTATTCATTTTATTACTTGTTATCTGTTTGCTTTGCTTGTACATTCACTTAAATCTCTAGATTTGTATACTGTGTTTAAGATGAATCTCGTTTCTGAATGGGTTTCTTTTTGTTCCCAGCCAATTTATCAACTCTTTTGTGGAAAATATGTTTGCTCAAATCTTGCAAATAGTCTAACAGCAACAACAAACCCCGTAAAATCCCAGAAGTGGGGTCTTGTGACTTGGGAGGATAGTGTGTACGCACACCTTAGCCACCCCTATCGTGGGAGATAGAAAGAAAGAGCCTCTGCTCGAGAGGATGAACAAATAGTCTAACAACAAGTAGGCAATTTTGGAGGTCAATTTGAATACTTTTTTAACCAATGCAATTGGGGGATGTTTCCAAACTTTCTTCCTGTACTTCTTTTCCTTTTTCCCTTTCTAGATTTAAAAATGTACTTCCCTAGCCGTTCCTTTCCGTGCCAACTGATTTCTTGCTCTTTGGTGTTATAGTTTCCTGATTCATGAACATAGCATAAAAATGCCTACCAATGATGACTGGTCTTTTACAAAGTTCATGTTCCTGGTCTTTATAATTGAAGAGTGATATATGTGGCTTGATTGCTCCTCATTCATATTCTCATTTAAACTCTGAATTCACAATGCTGGTGCTGTAACACATTCTTATTTAGTGTTCTCTGATCAGTGGCTCGTAGTGTTCTCTTGTGTTTTCTTTACCTCATGAAACGAGCTCATTGGTTTCAAATTGATATGGTAAATCGGTGTTATCTTGCTTGGGTTGTCTTTAACATTGAAAACGTGGCCTCGTGTTGACAAATCTTTGCATTGACAAACTTCAGATATTTTCTGAACAACCAAAATCAATCAATCAACAGGATAACTAGTTGTAATTGGCAATATGAGTATTCTATATCCATTTGTTCTACTCAGACACAGCACATCACAAATGTAGTAAATTTGTATGCTTCATTTAATGATATCTTCTTGAAATCCTATCTCGTCTTTTGCTGCATAACCTACTGCGTTTGGAACTGTCACAGTTGAGCTTATCTAGAAAAGACTTGTTAAGTTTGGCTTTCCTCTCCTGTGTTGGTGCTACTTAAAGTAGTCGTTGACATTGGGAAAAGCTTTTTTTAGCCTGTACTCAACCTATGTAACATATGCTCCGCAAGCTGAGGTGAGAAACTGATTGGGTTGCCTATAGCTGTGTCTTCGGCTTGGGATTTACCGGAAGTTCTTACTGATATCACATTTTTCTGTTAGTAAATATGATGTCTCGAAGAAAATATTTTTAAAAGTCCATGCAATGCCGTGCCTTTTGATGTGCAAATTCAATTCAGTTCTTTCCTCCTTATTATGGTGTTCTAGTCTTGGCTTAGTTGTTTGTCTTGTTGTACCGTGAAGAATTTCTTTAGTTCACTTCTGATGCAACAATTATCAGTTATGTTCTTTATCCTTTTGTTGTTCTTTCTTTCTAAAAGTCCACGGAAGTAGCTGCTAGTATTAATTTTACCTTGAACCACTTGAAAAAGAAAGCTTGTATATCATTCCATTAATTTGCACTCTAAGTGACTCGCGGCACATTGCAGTACCCAACTATACCTCCTGTACTGCTCTCTGCTTTTCTGAGAAGGACATTCAATTCTCAGATACCATTCAGTCTTCCGTCATTATCTACTTGGGAAACACTTTTAACATCAACATATCGCTGTAGGTACCCCACTTTGGCGTAATGGGCCTCCAGAGAAGCCAATATTGTGCAATGCATGTGGATCTCGGTGGAGAACAAAAGGAACCTTGGCAAATTATACTCCTCTGCATGCAAGGGCAGAGCCTGATGATCTTGAGGATTATAGGGTGTCTAGAGTCAAACACATGTCTTTGAAAAACAAAGAGCCAAAGTTGCTGAAACGAAGGCAAAATCATGATAATACTGAAGTTAGAACTCCTCCTGATTATAATCAGGGTTTCCTTAAGGGTTTAGATGAAGATACAAGCAATAGGTCAAGTTCTGGTTCTGCCATCTCAAACACGGAGAGCTGTGCACAATTTGATAGTACTGAAGCAAGTGATTTGACAGGTAGTTCATTTATTAATGCCGACACTGTTTCCAGAAAAGCCAATAAACTATAAAAGCTTGATTTTGGATTGAATTTGATTCTTTAAGATGTAGATATGTGCCTGTATACCTTTTCTTGTTAGCTGTTATGAAAAAATCTATAGGCAGTCATTTTTGGTGATGCTCATAGTTTCTGTTCTACATCTTTTAGTTGGATTGCCAGTATTACCCTCAGGGTAAATATACCTTCTTTTGTGGTATGGCTGCATTTTCTGAAATTGAAACTTTAGTGGTAAAATCTAAGACCTTTCTATTTTCGTTACATTTTAAAAAAAATTCAGTCATTTATCTTCTCCTTTCAGTCAAATCACAGAAGTTACTTCGAATATTGTCATGTTCCCTACTGCATGTCCAATATACATTCTCTAGCCTTCTCCTTTGTGTTCTTTAAGGTCTGCGTACACACTACCCACCCCCGACCCCACTTGTGGGATTACATTGGGTTTATTGAATTCTTTTCTGTTCTTTGTTTATTCTTTGTACTTTTCTTGTGCATTCTAACCTTCACTATGTACTTGAAGCACAAAGCTCAGTGAATTCTTGCATAATTGGGTGATTTCAATGGCTGCTTAAAATACGTTCCCCTTAATTGTGCGATCAGGCCATGCCCAATCCAACATATGGGACACAACGGTGCCTTCAAGGAAGAGAACCTGCATTAGTCGTCCAAAGCAGTCTTCAGTTGAAAAACTTACTAAAGACCTGTATACCATCCTACACGAACAACAATCGTCATGCTTCTCTGGATCTTCTGAAGAGGATTTGCTTTTTGCTAGTGACAAGCCTATGGTCTCTGTTGAGATAGGACATGGAAGTGTGCTTATTCGACATCCGAACTCCATAGGTAGAGATGAAGAATCAGAAGTCAGCTCTCTATCGGTTGATAACAAGCGACATTATGTAAATGAGGCTTATTCACGATTTTCTACCCCACCTGTAAATATTAACAAGGGTGTCTATTTACCAAATCTGGGTACTGAGAGAATCAAGAAGCCTACTAGTCAGGGAATGGAACAAGACAAGATTAAAAGGTGATTTCTTCATTAATCTTGATAGCATAAAAATGTCTTGATAAATAAAGGTGGTGCTGCATGTGTTAGACCGGAAGAAAATGGATATGAGGTGTTAAATGCATGAATATCCTGCTAATGTTAGATGTGATTTGTCTGCACAAAAAGAATCAATATGCATCAGGAAGATAACATAAATCGAACCAACAGACTGCACTTTGATGGTATCATCTTCTTCATCTGTTTAAAGACGGGGTAAGAAGTTGAAACTACTTGACAATAACAAGGCAGTTTCTTTTTCTTTTTCTTTTTTTATCCGTAAAAGAATTGGAGGAGGTAAGATTCTTTGGGGGGGTTATGGTTTAATGGAATTCCACTTTTCCCTGGATAAACTTATTTACTTCACTGCAAATGCTAATTGTGCAGTAAGCTTGTGGTGGCATTACATACAATAATTCCATAATTCCAACAGCTTTAAACCCTGTTCTTTACCTTGATTTATGCTTTCCGTCCTCTGATTTTATTTTGAAATGCAGGGATAAGGATCAGCTTGAGAAATTGCAGATTCTTGGACAACATAATTCACCACTGTGCCATATAGACCTGAAGGTCTGTTGCTAGCTCTTGATTTCATTACGAATAAATTTTTGTTTCATCTAATATAACAGTAGAATACTTCCTACAAGGCCCACTAACTCCTAATGAATTTAATCACTTTTAAAGTTTATTTTGGCTATGTTGTCAATTGTTAATTCTTACAGTGTGGATCTAGGCAATACTCCGCTGCAATACTTCAAAACTGATATGATTATGATAAATATGATTCAGGATGTACTTAATTATGAAGAGTTCGTGAGGCATTTCTCAAGTGATGAACAGCAGCAACTACTAAAATACTTGGCTCCTGTTGATTCTTTTGCGCCTCCAGATAGGTTCATACAATCTACTTCATATTTGTATTCCTTTTAAGTTGTCAGAAGTCTTAATAACATATAGCATCACTGAACTATTGAGAATAAAATCCTAGAATCAAGTTTTTCTTCTTCTGTGATATTGCTGATTTTGTTTCTATGGTTTCTCTATCTGCAGTCTTCAAAGCATGTTTGAGAGCTCTCATTTTGAGGAGAATTTGTCTTCCTTCCAGAAACTTCTTGCAGAAGGTGTTTTTGATAACTCGTTAGGGGTGAAAATAGAAGACTCTAGGACCTTGAAGAGGTTAATATTGTGCTATTTTACAAAGTCAAAGTGGGTGGAAAAGTATAACCTTATCAAGGTTAGGTCTTTTGATGTTTTATGAACATTCTACTTTATCTAAACAAATAGTGTAATTTTATTGAAGCTAATCTTGTTTGTGTTAGGACACAAAATGTAAAAGTAGTACCAATGGTTCTGAAGTTGCAGGAGGGCCCAACGCTATAGGCACAGGTCATTCAGTGAATGTTAAGAGGCCATTGGAGGGGCATCATGCAAAGTATGCAGGTTGGTTGCCTCTCTTTTTCATTTTATTTTTCTTTCAAAAATGTCATGGCATTCAACAATTCCTCTTAATTGGTGGACTTAATTGTTCTCTTCGAGGCAAATATTTACCTGACAATTGTGAGAGGAGATCAAATTTTACCCGTGTGACAGCTCAAAGCAGAGAAAGCGCAAAGAAGTTAGATGTGAGGACTTAAATACGTTTTGAGCAATTCACAAGAATGGTTCTGGCATTTTCAATTATTTCTGTTCTCGTGATCTGCCAGGAGCAGATAGAGGAATAGGGTTCCATGGGGTAGTAAGTGGGCACTGGGCATCATAGACAATGAGAAGAAGTGGTAGAATATCTTGAACGTGGAAAGTATCTGTGTCTATTAGTGTCCTGGTTTTCAGTGCCTGGGCTAACTAATTCCTCTAACTAGTTATTTACACATTGCATTTTGTCACATAGCTTGCAAGACAAGGTCAGTTCCATGGCCTAGTATCTTGAGGTGGCTTGATTCATGCTGGATAACTGTTAGGAGACATTCACCTATTGAAATGGAAGATGGAAATAGGGGAGGGGTTAAAAGAAAAAGTCCATCTCGACATCTCTCTCTCTCTCAAACTATATCTATGGACCCTCCATCCTATTATATATCCTGTAATATACAGGCAAGTAGTTGTGAAATTCATGATTGACAAGACTAGGTAAGCATTTCAACTTTTTCCATAAAAAATCAATGTCCTCTCACTTCTGGCTATGTTACCTGCCACCAAAAGGGAAAAAGAAAAAAGAATGTGAGGATATGTTTCATTGGTCCATCAAATTTGTCTAGCTTTCCTCTTTATCTAGATTCTAGTGTCTTTGCCACATAATTTCTCCAGCTTAAGTAATGCTAAAACTTCGTTTGTGTGCCGGGGGGGGCATACTAGATTTTTTTCCTCCGAGGAAAAATCCCCTAGTTCTATTTTCCATGTGTAGTATGTTCTTCGACTTTATCACTAATTCAGATGGAAATAATTTTCAAGCCATTTCGCTTCAGGTCCAAAGAAAGCAACGAAGAGCCCCAATAGGGTGGTTATGAAAAGCAGCTATGAGCAGAAGGAACTAATAGACAACGATAGCTCTTGCTTCAGTCCAAAAAGCCTATTTGCCTTGCCTTGTAATAGTTCTCCTATGCTGGATTCTCTCCATTTTGCAAATGGAAGTTCTGACCAGGAATTGCTGCTGGATGTGCCGTCCAACAGCTCCTTCCCCCAGGCAGAACTCTTGGTACCAACATCAAGTTTTGCTGCACAAGCAAGCACTAGTAGCAGCTCTGTATACCCATATGTTGTACGTCCCTAGCAATACTATCACATTTTCTTCATAAGGCATCTCGAAACTATTCCAGCCAAATCAGATGATTGTGTCTGCATGTTCTACATCAATCATATGGTAATTTGCTGAGAGAGTTGGGACCTATATATTAAACAAAAGTTTGGATTTAGTCAATGGATGTGGTTGTTCACCCTTTTTGCTCCTTTTTGTAAAGAATGACAAACATTAATGTATAATATATAGCTGAAAATACAGTGAAGGTGACAATGTCCAGACTCCAGAGTCTGTATGCAGTAAAAATTTTAAACTTAAATTGGGGACATCCCTTCTGTCTGTTGGTTTTATTTATGAAGAAGTTACTCCAAAAAGACAAATGAGATGTCAAAGTGGAGGGAACTGAGTTCTTGCTCCTTCCAAGTATGCGTGTGGCCTTACAAATAAAGTCTCATCTTGCACACAAGACGGTTGGTTACTTCCATTCAAAATAGTTTCAGTACATAATTTACATCAGCTGAAACTAAAGCAGAAGCTCAGAATATCCTAGTATATTGGTTCCTAACTAGCTAGTGAAGTCAATCCCTTTAAAACTCCATTTACAACCTGCAATGACTTTGTCAATTCTTCACACAGTATACCAAAATCTCCCTAAATCTATAGGTTTCCTGACATGAAATCAATCAATAACTCACTCCGGGGGGGCACCATCTAGGCCGAGGAATACACATACCACGCCTCTTAGCAGTCTCCCAGAAGTCTGCATTCTGCCATTCACTGTTCATCATCTCCCCAACAACCACCATGAATGTAGATTCTATTATGTCTTTGAACTGCCCCTTCTTCGCTGCCTTCTTCCCAAATCCCCCCTCCACTCCTCCATTCTTCTCTCCTCCCCTCATCCATAACGGCAATTTGCACCTTCCCCTAATGCTTCCATCGACACCAGCAGTACAGCTTTCCATTCTCCCATTTGCATGATTGAACTTCTCATTCTCACCATGTTCATGTACTACTCCTCCATCTCCGGACTCTTTTACTGCAGAATCCACATGTCTCTTCATTCTAGTATCCGTAACTACTTCATTTTGCACAATTTGTTCACGTCTTAAATCTGTGATCTCAGTATCTGCATCAACCACCTTTTGTGTAATTGAACTCTTCATACCCAAATTCTTCTCACAAACCCTAATTCTCTTCCTCAACGGTTCATCAAAATCACCCTCCCAATACTCAACTTCGTCAACTCTAATCAACCCGTGACCGTAATCCACTGCGGTATCTTCACCGGCGGGAACAGTAGCCGGTAAATCTACTGCTGCAGCCATGGTAGGTCTCTGATCATCAGAGCCGGAGATATAGGTCTGAGAATTATGGTGCTCTGGAGGAGTTTGGAATTCTTCATCTTCACGAGGGGTATTTTGGTCAATTGTGTCGCTATCTTGAAGTGATAACATGATAATTCCGGTTTGTTTTGACGGAACCGGCGACGACGACGGCGAGCCGGAGGATCGGGGAAAGTTCTCGAATTACACAGCAAACGAGCAGTTACAAAGCTCCTGTTCATCGGCGGCAGTGGTACAGTTCCTGATAATTCCGGCGTAAGGGTCTTCCATTTTGGCTATTTGTTTCGTTGGAGGGGAAGAGAGAGAAATGGAGAGTGTTAATTTGGGAGTATTTAAATTTTATTTTTATAGGGGTTTATTTAAGTAGGAGTATTAAATTATTCCCGCTTTTTCTTCCGACTCCCGCCTATAACATTAACGGTCACTGGCAGCTGTCTGGATTATTAAAACGACGTGGTATAACTCCAAATTCTCCCTTACAAGGATATTAAGCTAGCGTTTGACCATATATTCCCAAATTTATTTTGAAAATTTTGATTTGGGTGAAGTTTGGTTTGAAGATAAAAATGTATTTGGACATCTGTTTTGGGTGAAGTTTGGTTTGGAAAAGCATGAAACATGACTTATACCCACAAGTTCTAAAAACTGTCATAAATACCAAACAGTACCATTATCAATAACATTCATTATATTATCGCAAATCATAGTCCTGAACATAAATAAATTTGATACAAAATTATTATTTTTATAATGAACTACATGATACACTATCAGATGACCGAGAAGACGAAACAACATCGTTACAAAATAATAAATGGTGGACTCTTTTATAAAATACTAAAGTTTGGGGTAATTTTTAAAAATATAATAGTGATATTTTGCCCCCAAACCAACTATTGAGCTGGTTTTGGAATTTGGGATTTGGTCAAAATGTAGGTAAAATCTATGGCCAAACATGTGTTTGTCAAATAAAACCCAAGTTTATTTTGGCAAAATCTATGGCCAAACGGGTCCTAAAGTTCATGCGTTTCCTACATGGCTCACTGGGGAAAAAGTGTTATATTCTAGGGAAAATGGCCAAATATACCCATCTACTTTCATATATTGTCTATATTTAACTTTCGTTATACTTTCGGGCCAAATTTATTCTTACTGTTATACTATCGGGCCAAATTTACCCCTATAATCAGCAAACTTTTAAAAATACCCCTTGATCTATTAAGTAATCCAAAATCTCCCAAATTCCTTTTATTTAAATCACTTGTTGTTCGTATTGGTCCACTATTTTTGAAATAATTGGCATATAAATTAGAGAAAAAAATATTAAATAATACAACCGAATAAAAGAAGTATAGTAAATTAAAATCTAAATTAGGTAACTTTTCTAAGTTCTAAAATAATTTACATCCCAATTTTAATGAATTCGTTACACTAAATATATGGAGACTTTGCAAGTATTAGTGATTGAAGTTGAAATTTCTCGGAGACTTTATACGTCTAATTCAACTTTGCTTTAATTAAAAGCCTACACATTGTGCACTCTTAAGTTAGTCGATCGAACTCTATACTAACCATGCAATGACAAAATATATTTGAATATACATGTACATACATGATGATCAGTTGCATATAATACACAATAAATAGACCCACTAAATTCTACGGTGTGTATATGATTGAAAAATAAATAAATTTCTAAACTAATTTTATTTATTACAAGAAGAGAAATGGGTGCATTGGTAATTAAAAAAATTATGAATAATTTGTATAGTCTAGTAACTTTAACATTCACATCAATAGTAACTTTTAAAAATAATGGAGGACGAAGAACAACAAGTGATTTAAATAAAAATAATTTGGGAGATTTTGGATTACTTAACAGATTAAGGGGTATTTTTAAAAATTTGCTGATTGTATGAGTAAATTTGGCCCGATAGTATAACGGTAGGGGTAAATTTTGTCCGATAATATAACGGAGGTTAAATATAGACAATATATAAAAGTAAAGGGATATATTTGGCCATTTTCCCTATATTCTATTTATTTTAATGAATTTGAAGGAACCATGTTTTCACGTCATTCTACTAGCTAGGAATATTGTGAAGCATAATATGATAATAGGCGTGAAAAACTAACTGTTTGCAACAAATTTTCACTTGTATTGGAAAATATTTTGCAACAAAAATTTGAAGCAAAAGAAATTGATAAATATTTGTAAGCGCAATTCTATATAATCTCTTAATTCTTCTCTCCAAAAAGTTTTGTGATTCGAGGGATGAAGCAACGTCTCTCTTGAACTTAGGATGATGTGGACCTTCTTGTTTCCTCTGTGATTCGAGGGCTCGAGAAGCGTCTTTCTCGAACGTAATATATTACAGACCTCCTTTTGATGTATTTAATCGCCAAGAACTTCGGGCAGGATTTTGTCATTTCGGGTTGATCTCCGGGAAGAACTCCGTTGACCACTTCGTTCTTATTGAAGAACTATACAGTTGATGATTGATCTCTGTGTTTGCGGATGCCTTCACAAACTCCAGAGAGTTATGTAAACTTTCTTGCTTGTTTCTGATTGGCTCATGTGAGTCATCAAACTTATTACACAAGCTATGTGATAAGCTTGCATATGATTGGCTAGGACATGTCGTTTAGACAATTGACGACCTTTGATTGGTCATTGCTTTTGACTGAATTGCCATATCATTTTAACACGTGGCATCATCTTGTTGGCTTTGAATTTGACTGGACATGCCATGTCATTTAACATATGGTATGAGTCTGGACCTCATGATGAAATGATCACTTTGGGTTTGAAAATAATAAAAATAAACTCATTTACCTTGTAAAGTACAACTTAATTCTTCAACCCAAATGAATTTAAGATTTAATTCAAATCTTGTATGGACTTTACCCAATAAATTTTATGTGTACACTAACTTTTTCGAAATGGTATACTCTAAAGGTTGTATGATGCAGTTGAATATTCATTCGATCACTGTTTATCATGAAAGTCAAAATATAATGGGAGTTAGATATTACATGTGAAGACCTTTTTGAATATTACATATCTTAATGATGTAAATATTATAAGTATACTTAGACCTTGAAACATAGTAGTTCATAGTTTGCTAGGCTTTTGATATCTTTTTTACATGGTGTTTGGATTTTTTTTTTTTTCAAATTGGAATTTAAATACTGTCGCGAACCACCAATTCCTCTACGGAAATGACTAGCTTCACAGGAAAAGAGATACTTCCTTCCTTTTACTTTTTTTATTTGTTGCGGTCCTTTAGACACTTGTTCTTTGCTAACGCTTAATGATGCCGTGCTATAATTTCATATATTTTAACGTTATTTATCCTATTTGTTTGTTGTTTGGATGCTAATTTGTGCGACAATTGAGCTTAATAGAGCTTATTTCACGTGTAAGAATGCTTGGACGTGAATTGGAGAAAAGTTGCACGAAATGGTATCTCAGAGCTACAAAATAGAGCAATAAAAGAAGACGCGCAGGGCAATGAAAAGTTATGGCCATAGATAGTTCAAGGCATTGTCCAGGGCATTGTCATTGGCGCCTAGACAGTGCCTCGCACAGAAACATTGGCGCCCCTGATAGTGCTTCGCACAGAAACATTGGTGCCTCTGACAGTGCCTCGCGCCGACGATGCTATCCGAGCCAATCTTATTTTCTCACTATTTTTGGACGTGTAAAATTTGGCCCCAACCCTATAAATACCTCTTAAAGTTAGTTTTTGAGGGGGGGAGGGGGGCATCATTAGAGAGGCAAGAGGCAAGAGGCTACGAAACACTTTGGAAGCACGAATCAATCAAGTTTTCTCTCCGCTTTCCTTTAATTTGTAGTTTAATGCTTTTAGATATTACTATGATTATTTACACAATTATGAGTAACTAAATTCGTCATCTAGGGTTGATGAAACTAATTGTTGGATGAAGTCTTGATTGTGTTTTGATATAATTGAGCCGTTTTTACTCTTTAATTGTTCAACTATGTGTTTCTTGTGGTTAATTGAAGGGCCCTTGATTAATCGTGTCTAGTTATCTTGTGTTGCTTGAGAGAGAGCACTTGATTAGATTGTTGTTGAACAATTCCACTTTCGAGTAAGTTAAGAGATTAATTACTTTAATTTAAAAGCGAGATTAGACAAAACCTTGGCGCGATATTTATGAGTTGTACGAATTGCCAGCTAGAGTAGTTTGAGAGAATACTTCTAGTAAATTATCGTAATTGATCGAGAGATAATTGCGGTAAACAAGAACTCATCATCTTTAGAGAGTGTTGCGGCGAGATTATAGCTAATGTGTCAGGAATTAATCCGGCAATTGGGGAAATCCTAAACCCTAGATCTTTTTATCCTTGATTCAACCTCATTCTTGCTAGTTGACAGTTTTTATTGTCATTTTTTCTTAGTTAAGTAATTTTTACTAATTCACAAATCAAATCTTGAACTCTGAAAGTTGTATGAGCTTATCATTAGTGATACTGAAAAGTTGTAGCAAATAGGTTAGTTCCCTGTGGGATTCGACTCCAGACTCTTGAACCAAATTATTTTTGCAGCTACCGCTTAGTCTTTTTTATAAGGCATAGTTGGGCGTGATCAAATTTTGGTACCGTTATCGGGGGACTAACGGTGTTATTCGTTACAACTTGAAAGAATTGCTAGGATTTTTAATTTAGATCAATTTTCTGTGGTGCTAAAAATATTTTCATTGAAATTCTCATGTTTGAATTCTTATTTGCCTTAGATGCATGCTTAGAAGCTCCTTGAGAACTGATGAACTATTTAAAGGTCTCTCAGATCTCGAAAAAGCATTCAAGACATTGAATCAGGCTAGCAAGAAGGGTAAACAGCAAAAACTGAATGAACAAATCGAAATTGAAATGGGTAATGTCGAGAACGTAACGGGAATTATAGAAATAATCAAGTTGACCCAAACATCGGAGTGGTAGTACCTCTTGTGCCGGAAGCTTCTCTATATGATTGATCGTAACCAACTACTGACAATCTGGCAACTGCAATTGCAGTCCCCCCGATACAAGCAAAGACTTTTCAAATTACAAACAACATGTTGCACTTGCTGCAGAATAAAGGGTTGTTCTCCGAGTCGTACATCGAAGACCCACAACAACATCTGAAAAATTTTCTATCAATTTGTGTCACTCAAAGACAGCCGAATGTGACACCCAAAGCAATCAGATTGTTACTGTTTCNCCCGGATCAGATGCTAGGACAGAGATTCTATATGGGTTTGGCTGACAGTCTGAAGGCCAATGTATATACTTCAGCCGGAGGTGCATTCTTGAGCAAATCATTCACAGAGTGTAAGATCCTTCTTGACAAGATGGCTCAAAATTCAGGCTGGATGACGAGGGATACAACTCTCTCTCCAATAGTACATTATTTTGCTCTTGACCCAAACAATACAAATACAGAAAACATAGCCACTCTCATGACCCAGATGAACTTGTTGACAAAGAAAATTGATGAGATGGGCACGAAACAGGTTCATATTATTGACACAACAAATGGAGGCTTATGCACTCCATGCATCAATCACTCGTATGGTTGCTCGTGGAGTGAAGAAAATGATAACCAGGGCTTCAGAGAAGACATGAATTATATAATAATTTTGGGGGTCATAGGCAAGGTGGATAGCAATGGGGACTTCAGAATCAGCAGTACAGACTAACCCAGCATAGTACAATACCAATCCTACGGGAGCACGACCACAAGGCCAAGTTGTGCCCTATCAAAGGCAGCATGGTTACAATCAGCAGCACAAACAACAATTGCCTTACCAACAACCACATCAACAACATGTGACCAGACATGACGACAGTAATATGATAGAAATCAAGGGCATGCTGCAACAAATCATTGGGACAAATGGAAGGATGCAAGAAAAGTTAGCCGCACATGACTCAGCTATTAAAGGCATTGAAACTCAGTTAGGCCAGCTGTCCATGGCTTTGAACAATCGCCCACAAGGAATGTTGCCTGCAAACACAAACATCAATCCAAAATAGCAGAACCCGAATCAGTTAAGGCAGTGAGTCTCAAGAATGGAAGGGATTTGGATAGAGAGTAAGAAGTTTCTCAATCTAATAGAGACGTCGTGCCACTTACTCTAGTGCCAATCGAGATTGATGAGTCGACGGAGCTCACAAAGGTTGTAATTGAACAAGCACAAGTTGACAAAGGCAAGGAGAAGGAAATTGAACAGTTCGCAGAACATGTAATGGAAAAGACTTCTAATCAGGAAAAGACACAGAGCAGTGGGCAGAAGCTAATTTCAGCACCATTCCCTCAAAGGTTGGCAAAGCAAAAGAAAGATGATCAATACAGGAAATTCATGGAAGTGCTCAGACAGATTCAATTGAATATTACGCTGATGGATGCTTTGGGGGAAATGCCAGGTTATGCTAAACTGATGAAGTATTTGATGTCTCGAAAGTTTGACTTCCAGGACCTGTCTATTGAAACTTTGACTCAAACTTGTAGAGCGGTAGTGATAATACCTATGGATCAAAAATTGTCTAATCCCGGTAGTTTCACTATCCCATGCACAATTGGAAGTTATGTTTTTGCTAAAGCATTGTGTGACTTAGGAGACAGTATCAACTTGATGCCCTTGGTAATCTACACAAAGTTAGGTATTGGCAGAGCTAGACCGACCTCAATGTTGCTGCAATTGGTTGATCGCACAGTGAAAAGGCCAACAAGAATTCTGGACGATGTGCTCATCCAAGTGGGAAAGTTTGTATTTCCTGCTAATTTCGTTATTCTTGACTGTCAGGTTGACGAAGAAATACCCATAATTTTGGGAAGGCTGTTCTTAGCCACTAGGAGAGCATTGATTGAATGTGAGACTGGAGAGTTGAAAATGAGGTTGAATAATGAAAAATTAATATTCAATGTTCAACAATCTATGAGGAGGCAGCAAATTTGCAAATTGTTCGCTAGTGGAGGCAATTGATGTGATACTACAAGAGGAGGATGAGACTCTTAATGTCAGAGACCCATTAGAAGCTTGCTTGATGAATTTGAAAGAAGTGGATGGTGAAGAGTTGGCAAAGTGGGTTATGGCTCTCGAAGGTCAAGGGTTTTGGGAATGGGAACCCCAATTTGAGCCAATATACTTAGAAGAAAGAGAAATACCGCATGTGAAGCCGTCAATAGAGAAGCCACCACAGTTGGACCTGAAACCGCTTCTAGCTCACCTCAGGTATGCTTTCTTAGGGCCTAAATCTACTTTACCTGTTATTATCTCATCTGGTTTGTTAGATGTGCAGGTAGAACAACTCCTACAGGTGTTACAAGAATGTAAAATTCTTATTGGTTGGACCATGGCAGACATTAAGGGTATCTACCCAGTCTTTTGCATGCATAAGATTCTCTTTGAAGAGGGGCACAAACCTTAAAGTGAACATCAAAGAAGGCTAGACCCGAATATGAAGGAAGTAGTGAAGAAGGATGTGATTAAGTGGTTGGATGTGGGCATCATCTTCCTGATTCAGATAGCGTCTGATAAGCCCAATCCAATGTTTTCCGAAGAAAGGTGGTATGACTGTTGTACATAATGATAATAATGAGTTTATCTCTACTCGTACAGTCACGGGCTGGCGAATTTGCACGGATTACAGAAAACTGAACACTGCCACCCGGAAAGGCCATTTTCCCCTGCCATTCATTGACCAAATGTTGGATAGATTGGCAGAGAGGTCTTACTTATGCTTTTTGGATGGATATTCGGGGTACAATCAGATCACAATAGCCCCTGAGAATAGAGAGAAAATTTCATTCACTTGTCCTTGTATCTTTGCCTTTCGGAGACTGCCGTTTGGCCTATACAATGCACCGACCACTTTCCAGAGGTGTATATTAGCCATTTTCACTCTTATAGTTAAATATATTATGGAAGTCCTTATGGATGATTTCTCAGTGATGGGGAATTCATTCGATGATTGTCTTTACAAATGTAGAAGAGTGTTGAAAAGGTGTGTGGAGACAAACCTGGTGCTGAACTAGGAGAAGTGCCATTTTATGGTACAAAAAGGTATAGTTTTGGGGAATTGAGTGTCAAGTAAGGGTATTGAGGTCGACCATGATAAGGTTGACGTAATTGAGAAGTTACTACCGCCCACTTCGGTCAAGGAAGTAAGAAGTTTCCTTGGGCATTCCGATTTCTACAAGCGATTTATAAAGGATTTCTCTAAAATTACTAAACCCTTATGTAAACTGCTTGAAAAGGATCACCTCTTTGTGTTTTCTGATGATTGCATGTTAGCATTTGAGGAGCTAAAGGAGAGACTGGTGACTGCACCAATCATTGTTGCACCCGACTGGGAGCAGCAGTTTGAGCTTATGTGTGATGCAGGTGACTATGCTATAAGAGCAGTTTTGGGGCTGCGAAAGGATAAAATGGTACACCCAATTTACTATGCAAAGCTAAGCAGTGCACAACTCAATTATACCGTGACTGAGAAAGAGATGTTGGTTGTGGTGTTTACATTCGACAAATTTATGTCTTATTTGATAGATTCAAAAGTGATTGTTTATACTGACCATGCAACACTTAGGTACTTGATAGCAAAGAAGGAGTCAAAGCCACGCTTGATCCGTTGGGTTCTTTTGATACAAGAATTCGATTTGGAGATCCGCGATAGGAAAGGAACGGAGAACCAAGTGGCAAACCACCTTTAAAGGTTAGAGGGAGCTGAAAAGAAAGTAGAGGTTGAAGATATCACAGAGACATTCCCGGATGAACAATTACTAGCAGTGACAATGGAGGAGACACCTTGGTATGCTGATATTGCTAACTATTTGGCAAGCGGTATTGTACCTTATGAACTCTTTTCGATTCAAAAGAAAAAGTTCTTTCGTGATTGTTGGTCTTATTACTGGGATGAACCCTTACTTTTTAAAATATGTGTGGATAACATGATCCGGAGGTGTATCCCCGAGAAAGATCAATCTTCTGTTTTGCAGGCTTGCCATGCTTCACCATATGGTGGGCACTTTGGAGGAACTCGGACAACGGCAAATGTGTTGGAGTCGGGTTTGTATTGGCCTACTCTATTCAAGGATGCCCATGCCTGGGTGAAAAGTTATGATGAGTGCCAAAGAACCGACAACATATCTCGTCGTTATGAGATGCCAATGACTACAATTCAAGAGGTGGAAGCGTTTGACGTGTGGGGGATTGATTTTATGGGACCATTTGTCAGCTCGTATGGTAATAAATACATATTGGTAGCATTTGATTATGTCTCCAAATGGGTTGGAGCAGTGGCTCTTCCAACAAATGATGCCAAGAGAGTGATAGGATTTCTAGGAAAAAATATTTTCACATGGTTTGGCACTCCGAGAGCCATAATCAGTGATTATGAAACTCATTTCTGCAATAGAGCATTCGCAGGGCTGTTAGAAAAGTATGGAGTTCGCCATAAGGTTGCCACACCTTACCACTCGCAAACGAGCGGGCAAGTGGAAGTGTCAAACAAGGAAATTAAAAGTGTCCTAACCAAGACAGTAAATCTGACTCGGACTGATTGGGAAAGGAAGTTGGATGATGCGTTATGGGCTTACCGCATAATATTTAAAACTCCAATTGGTATGTCTCCGTACAAGTTGGTGTTTGCAAAGCACGCCATCTTCTAGTGGAGCTTGAGCATAAAGCCTTATGAGCACTGCGGCAGTTGAATTTGGATATGGAAACCACAGGCACAAGTAGAGTTACAGAGTTATATGAACTCGAGGAGTTCCGGTTCCAGGCATTCAATTGTACAAGGAAAAGACGAAGATGATGCATGACAAGCACATTCTATATAGGAACTCCAAACCCGAAGATCTAATGTTGTTATACAACTCAAGATTGAGATTATTTTCGGGTAAGCTGAAATCTAGATGGTCGGGACCATTTAGAGTTGTGCAAGTGTTCCCAAGTGGAGCTGTAGAAATTGAGTCCGAATATGGGACAAACAGGTTTAAAGCGAATGGGCAAAGATTGAAACACTACCTAGAATGATTGAAAAAAAGGGGATAAAGATGTGATGTACCTGGAAGAGCCCCAATATGTGAGCGAAGTGTAATCCTGAAAGCTTGCATCGTGACGCGACATTAAATCAGGCGCTTCCTGGGAGGCAACCCATAGTCGTGTTGTATTCGTCCTGCCATGACGTTAACTAAGACGCTTATTGGGAGACAACCCAATTCATAGCATAGAGTTAGTTTAGTTTTAGTTTTTGATTTTGTTTGATATTGAGGCAGACTAACAAGTGAGTTTTGTGTGAATTTGAAGTGTTTTGATAGGTTGTGGAGCTACAGGTAGGGCTGCGCATAATTTGGTAAATACTGAATTACCGTACCAAAACCGAAAATTTTGGTATTTAGAATTCGATATTTTGGTATTCGGTATGGTATTTGGTTTCTGTTTTAAAAGGAAATTGGTATTAGGTATGGTATTTGGTATTTTAAAATAAAATACTGAAATACCGATACCGTACCGAAATATATATTACATTACACAATACATATATTATTAATTATTATATAAATATAAAAAATCTTAAATTTTACTCCTTTATTCTCCAAGTTCATCAATTAACTCTAAGCAAGTAACACGACATTTCTATTGATCAAATTTATTCCTTTATGTATATTTTTATCTCTCTAGGTTGATATTTGCTGATTTTGGATAAAACTTTTGTCAACAAACGTTTTTAGTTTTGTACTTTTGAGTACTTTAATTAAAAATATTACAATCTATGACTCTATACACTAATTAATATTCAAACCGAATAAACCAAAGTTACCGAACTGAATAAACCAAAACCAAAAGGAGAAAAATCGAACCATACCGAATTTAATTAGGTACGGTATTGGTATAGCATTTTAAGAAATCGAATACCGAAAATACCGAACCGAAATGTCTAAATACCGTACCGTACTGACCGACGAACACCCCTAGCTATAGGGAAGAAAGATGTGCTCGGGGCTAAAATAGTTGTTGCAAAACGAACAAGAAAACACCGAGCCATCATGGGGCAAAGCCAAATATGCAATCTTATCATATCTTGTGTTGCTTAGCACAAAGGTACAGTGCCAACAAACAAAACAAATCACAACCTTCTGCTTAACAACTCCCAACCCCACTGCCCCGTTCCCACAGAGAAACAAAACTCCAAATTCCTCAAGTCCCCACCCCACTGCCTCGTCCTCTCTCTCAATTCCCAGGTTTGATTCTTTATCTCTCTCTCATCTATTCTATCTTTTCTATGTAATTTCTAGTTGTTGGGTAATATGCCCTACAAGGTGCAACAATGGTGCAATTGTGCTAAAATAATTCCCAACCCCAAATACCCCATAGGATATCTTGTGATTGTTGTAATGAGTGTTTCACTCTCGATTCCCAAGCCGATTTGGGAGGGTGGAGAAATCCTTTACCCATAAGAAACTCACACACAATTGGCGATTTTAGTCCTACTTGGAGTCTGAGTCTCCGGGATTGGTTGTTTTGTGTTTGGTGAGCATAATTGATATGAAAACTTAAGTATGGGGTGACTCTACGAAGTCAGGGTGGATTGATAAAGTGTGTTTGCAATGACATACGGGCTATGTGCAGTGCCCAAATTTAGATGCTAATACGCTTACTTGATGAAGGCGAGGTCTGAGTAGCATATGGTTTAAAGTAATTAGCATATCTTAGAGCTTTAAATGTGGGGTCACTCCGACCTTATTTTTGTGATAGTTGTTGTTTTCAGGCATTGACAATTGGCATGAATTGACAGGTACGTACAACATGGTTCGTCCAACAGCTAGTTCTAAGGCACCGGTTAAGGCCAAGGCACCACCAAAGGCAAAGACCACCTCGTCATGCCCAATGCAAAGAAACGGAATAGAGTTGAGGCTATATTTGGTAGTCAAAGTGGTAAAGGAAAGCAAGTGGCTTCTGCTTCTACCGGGGCACAATCTCAAGAAAGAGTGGCTCGTGAGTATGGCATAAAGAGTATGCCCCCATCTGGGAGAGCATTTTACAGGAAGTGTCTCCCAAACTCATATCTCCCTGATTTTGCAGTTGATAAAGCACAAATTGAAGTCCCGTTACCCTCAGATTTGGTAAAAGATACATGAATTAGGAGTGGGTTTTGTATTTAAAAATCCGGGAGAGGCAAACTTTAGCTTAGTGCGCGAGTTCTACGCCGGGTGGAACCTTGAGGATAAGGAGCAATTAGTACCTATTCATGGGAGGCTTATTGATATTTCGGCTAGCGTATTATGTAGATTTTTGGACGCCCCTGATGTCCCATGTAGTCCGTTGTGTGACTTTATTGACTGACCTGCTTACATAGATATTAGGCACAAACTCTGTGGTGTTAATTCGAATGCGGTGTGGACACGGGACAAGAGATACAACACACGTACTTCTTTTCCCAAAGTGAAGTTTACGAAGATTGCTAAAGTGTGGTTGCGCTTGGTGAACACGCGACTACTTTTATGTGATCATGATTCTGCTGTTATCTGAGAGAGAGTATGTCTAGTGTATTTCTTGATAAAAGGGTGGCCGGTGAATGTGGGCCAATTGATACGTAGCCAGATGACACAATCTAGAAAGGGCACACTTACTAGGATATTCTTTGTGAATCTGCTTGCGCAATATTTGCATACAAAGCAAGTGGATGAGGAGCCCAAGCTTGACATGTTGATTCTAGCCACATCTCGAGCTACCGACATTGCTGTTATCTGTGGGCCAGATGAGGAAGATGATACGACATTGACTACAGCGGAGCGTCAGGCTCGCGATGAGAGCGCCCTGGCTCATTTGTATGGGATGATGGATTTGCAGTTGAGGATTGGGGGTAGGCATGCTACTTCAGAGGAGACGACCCAGCTGACTGAGTGGTTCCCTCTCACCATACCTGTACAACGATTGGTTGGTTTAGCTGTGGGTCAGAGAGTGCCACCAGAGGAAGATATCAACACTCCAAAGCATTCGGTCAGGGTGACGAGGAGTAGGTTGATCCAGCGGTTGATGCCACTAGTGAGGATCTGGGTGATGACGTTGATGATTGGAATGAGGCTGATCGAGCCTTCTTCGATGGGGGCCATCATCTCGAGGATTGATCAGGGAGTTCTTATTCACCCTTTCTACTTTAATTATGCATTGGGGACACTGCATGGTTTAAGTGTGGGGTGGGTAACTCTCGTTGTGCATAGTAGTAGTAGATTAGTAACCATATTAGCTTCTTATATTTTTAATTTCTAGCTTCTTATATTTTTATTCTAACTTCTTATTTTCGTTATTGTTAGCTTCTTATTTTATTATTTTAGTATACATTAGAATAATATTGAGTAGCTGTAGTTTTTGTTTTTGTTTTTATTTTTATTTTTAAAAAAGAGCAAAAAAACAGAAAAAATAGACTTTTCCTGACGATGGATCTCCTAGACATTTTTCTTGAGGGATTTAATGCTAAAAAAAAATTCAAAAAAATCATAAAATAGAAAATAAAAAATACAAAAATATGTCTTTTATTTTTCTTAGGTAGTAATAATCCCTCATGGTTTTTCTTCGTGCCTCGGTTCTTTTTTATGGGTTGTAACTTGAACTGGGTAGTAGTTTTAATTTTATTTTTTTATTTTTACTTTTAGAGTAGTATGTAGGAAATAAAGGAGAAGAACTGATGTGATTTGCACCATTTGACTTGTTTGATAGTTGCATACTTAGGTTCTGGCATGCGTTTCACCTTCCCTTAGCTTTAAATATATGATGATGCCTTGGTAAAAATGAATAGCATGTGGTATAACTCCTATGTCTTGGTTGCTTGACTTGTGTTTACTTTGTGCTTTATGCTTAATATATCTCTTGGCTTTGTGAATACTTGTTTGAGTGAGAGTCTGAATGAAACCGTTCTTAGTGAGTCATGTGCCATGTGTGAAGTGAGTTCTTTGTATAGTCCATGTTATTACATTTGAGTCTAGAACTTGCCCGGAATGTGAATTAAAATGAAATCCTAGGTGTTGCTCGGTTTGAAAAGTGATGTTAGGCTTTCTTTGATATTTTTGAGTTTTTTTGCTTATCGCAAATAAAATCACCCCTAGTTACCCTTTTGAGCCTATAAGCCTTTCTTTTGGTACCCGTATTACGCCTATCCCTATTTATTCTTAATTGAATCATTTTGATCCTTAGACCTCTTAAAGCACTTGAATTGCAAAGACATCGCTAGAAAGAAGTAATGAGGAAACTTGGGGTAGCTTTTGAGTGGAACCAATAGAAGGAAGAATTAAATAAAATCCACTAGCGGCAGGGCAAAAATACAAAAAAGAAAGAGAAGAATAATTGAATAAATAAAGGTTTCTTATTTTTGCTAGTGGATGTGACATAAAGTAGTGTGTAAAGAAGAAGAAAAAATATTTTGGGGTGAGCTATCTTGTGATGATTGAAGTGGATTGAAGGAATTGCGCTTAAAATTGAATGCGTGATGTGTTAAAGTGCTTAGGAGAGTGAGGCACTATATACCAAATATATCCTACCCCTCCCTTAGCCCACATTATAACCATAATAAAGTCCTAGTTGATTTCAGACCGAGCGGGCCTACATTAGTAGAGGTTTATATAATGGGATAACCTATGGTACCTTTTACGTGCATGTGACTTATTTGAGA